TTATTTTGGTTAACAGTTGGCTTATGTAGATGGCTGCTCCCATGTTGGGGGCATAGATATTTACAATTGTTAGATCTTCTTGTTGGATAGACCCTTTCAGAATGATATAGTGTCCTTCTGTGTCTCTAATTACAGACTTTAGTTTAAAATCTAATTTTAATCTGATATAAGAATTGCTACCCCAGCTTTCTTTTGAGGTCTGCTGGCATGGAAGATGGATCTCCATCCCTTCACTTTCAGTCTGGATGTATCTTTAGGTTCAAAATGAGTCTCTTGTAGGCAGCATATGGATGAGTCCTATCTTTTTATCCAATCTGCAACCCTGTGCCGTTTTATGGGAGCATTTAGGCCATTCACGTTGAGAGTGATTATTGAAAGATATGAATTAATTGTCATCATGTTGCCTGTGAGGACGTTGTTTTTATAGATTGTCCCTGTAACTTTCTGTTGTATATGACTCTTGGGGTCTTTCTCCTTTTATAGAACCCCCCTTAATATTTCTTGCAGGACCGACTTAGTGGTCACCTATTCTTTCAGTTTCTACTGGTCGTGGAAGCTCTACATCTCTCCATCCATTCTAAATGAAAGCCTTGCTGGATAAAGTATTCTTGGCTGCATGTTCTTCTCGTTTAGTACCCTGAATATGTCTTGCCAGGCCTTTCTGCCTTGCCAGGTCTCTGTGGATAGGTCTGACGTTATTCTGATGTTCCTCCCTCTGTATGTAAGGAATCTCTTCCCCCTAACTGCCCTTAAGATGGTTTCCTTGGTTCTAAGAGTTGCAAGTTTTACTATTACATGCCGGGGTGTTGGCCTGTTTTCCTTGATCTTGGGAGGGGTCCTCTCTGCCTCTAGGACACGAATGTTTGTTTGATTCCCCAGATTAGGGAAGTTCTCAGCTACAATTTGCTCAAATACATCTTCTAGTCCTTTCTCTCTCTCCACTCTCTCCGGGATTCCAATTATTCTGACATTGGAATGCTTCATGGTGTCACTTATTTCTCTGATTCTATTTTCATGGATTCTGAGTTGTTTTTCCCTGGCCTCCTCTTTTCCCTTTTTATCTATTATACTGTCTTCCAGGTCACTTATTCGTTCTTCTGCCTCAGTTACTCTAGCTGTTAGATTATCTAGATTGGATTGGATCTCATTGATAGCATTTTTAAGTTCTGTCAATTCGGCTTTCATTTCTGCCCTTAGAGACTCTATGTTGCCGTTAATTGATTTCTCCATTCTAGCCATTGTCTTCACAATTGCTAGCCTGAATTCCATCTCCGACATCTTGGTTATGTCTGCATCCATTTGTAAATCTGCAGCATAAGTCATAATCTCTGAGTCTTTTCTGTTTTGGGGGTTCCTCCTCCTAGTCATTCTGTTGATGGGTGTTTGAGGGAATGTGTAAAGTCCAAATTATTGACCAGAACCCAAGCAAGATGCACCTGTTTTCTTGGGACCTTAGGGTTGCTGGCCTCTTGTTTTCCCAGCCTGTCTTCTGGGGGAGGGGCCTGCCGCGCTGTTACTCAGGCAACCCTGTTCGGGTGGAGTTGCCCTGCCCCCCTGTAGCAGGGGATGGGCTCCGCGGGAATCATTTTTTGGGGCTTTTGTTCTCTGGTGGCTTTCCCTGGCGGCTTTCCACGTCTCTTCCACAAGTCAGAGCAGAAGAGACCGCGTCCAACCCTCTGCCTCAGAGCAGAGAGACCGCAGTCTGTTCTTCAGTGAGCTCTGCAGGCCACACCGTCTCCGTTTCTGCCCGTGCTGCTATAAACTGCAGCGTCCAGGGTTGTGGCCCCTCTGCAGTGCCCCCAGTCCTGCCTCCAGGTCGGGGCTCCTCTCTGCCCGTTGTGTTTCTAAAACCGCAAGCCGCTCCCAGTTTGCAGGAGCGACCCCGCCACTCGGGGTTTCTGCCCCAGGGGCTGCCCTAAAGTCCTTTCCCCGCCGCTACCGGTCTGTGAGTCTGTGCCCCGTCCCCAGCCTGTGAGGCTGTCGCTCACTGGCAGTGTAAGATCCCCATGGCCAGGCACCCTCCGCTGCCATTTATCCTCCGATATCTGCCCCCGGAATCACGGCTCCCCGCTTCGTACCTCGAAACCAACTGCCTGCAATATTCTGTTTGTAGAGATCCAGATCTTCTTACATCTCAGGCTGGTTTCGTGGGTGCTCAGAGTGGTCTGGTAGATATCCAGCTCAATTCTGGGGACCAGTTGAAATAGGGTCCCCTACTCCGCTGCCATCTTTCCTTCTCTCCCTCTTACCTTATTCTAATGAGGTTTTTCTCGGGTTTTGTGGCCCAAGTGGATGCTTCAGCCTCACCACCATATTCTGGGGTCTTCACAAATATCTTGTCTTTAGATAGTTGCTAGTTGCCCTTTCCCTGAAGGGGACCGAAGTTGGGAACCACCTATTTTGCTATCTTTCTAGTGGCGGTCTCCTGATACCAGTTTTATTAAACCATTGTTAAATACGTTTTGTCTGGGTTTTCACTCGTTTCAGTAATTATGGTAAATTTAATCTCTGTTGCTTCATCTTGGCCAGAAGATGTCCTATATATCTTTTGTATAGTGAGTATGATTTCAAAAAAAAAAACAACCCTCAAATCCCAAATATACAGATAATGTCCTTGCAGATTGACTCTTTTCTGGATGGGTTTTGGAAAGAATAGTCCTTATTGTGTACTTTTTTTACACTGGCTTCTCCATTACTTTTATCTACAGTTTATCCACAGTTGGATTAGGTTATTGTATATTATAATGTAATATAAATTACTAGTTCATGTATGTTTTATTAAAATTAAATTGGACTTAGTACTTAATGGAAATCTGCTGAAACGATTTTATGCTGTTTTTTCTTGCCTATTTTACACTAATGTTTTTCCATCAATATATGAAGAAATGAGATAAAAAGGAGAACCTAGACATATCTTTGTATTGTCTGAAATTTTCTGTCATTAAGATATGTTCTGGAAAAGGACATTCTTGTCCTATGGCATATTGCTGTCAAAATAAATTCAAGAGGTAGTAGTTTTATTCTGTTTTCAAATTATTTCCTAGAAATCAGCCATCTAATTCAGAAAGAGACTAAAAGCCAAATTTTAAAAATTATGTACCAGGAAATGCCTCATTTATGAATGTATGCACATTTGAGCTTATAAATTGGGTAATTGTGCACCTAACAACTCTATATATTTTATCATTATTCACTTTATATTTATACAAATGAAGGCTTTGTAATTCAAATTTTGTAGCCTGGGATACTCATGATTAGAGAATCGTTATTTTTCATGCTGCTGTTCAATGTCAATGCATACAATTACAGAATACTTCATTTACTCTGGTAGAGCTATACCAAGAGCTTCTTTACTAAACATGTATTCTGAAGTAGTATAGGTACGTAATAGTTAATTTGGCTTCCTCTGCTATATAAAAAAGTGTTCAAAAAGGAGTAAGAAATCTGTATTGGAGTCTTTGCATCAAATGACTGAGTTGACATCTGAATTTCAGTTCTGCCAAGTATATTTTAAAAATTGTTTCCTTAAAATGATTGTGATAAGGATACCCCAGATATTTTGAGATTACAGCTCATCTCTAAAATGATTGAGCCCAGATACAATAGTCCTGAAAGTTTATTGCCAAATATTGTGCTAAGTACTTTTATAGATTTTGGAAGAAAAATCAGCCATTATTTAATCTTCACAATAATTACACAAATGTGTATATACAGACAGATGTATGGATGTATATGTGTACGTGTGTTAGTTTTCTATTGCTACTGTAACAGATACCACAGACTTTGTGGCTCAAAACAATAGAAATTTATTCTCTTACAGTTTGGGAGCTGGAAGTCTGAAGTGAGTTTTTACTGGGCCAAAACCATAGTGTTAGCAGGGCCATATTTCCTCTGGGAAACTCTAGGGGAGAATCTCTTCCCTTGCTTTTCCGGGCTTCTAAAGTTGCATTCCTCATATTTGTTGCTCATGACCCCACCCTCCATCTTTAAAGCTTTAAAGCCACACCATCTTCTCCTCTTTTACAGTAAAATCTCCCTCTGCCTCCCTCTTATAAGAACCTTTGTGATTACAGTTAGGGCCCACCTGGATAATCCAGGACGATATCTCCCCCCCCACCCCATCTCAAGATCCTTAACTTAATTAATCATATATTTAAAGTTTCTTTTGCCATATAACATAGCATTTATAGATTCCAGGATTGGGATGTAGATGTCTTTTATGGCTAAAATGGAGTACAGAATATTGCCAAAGTCATATAAAAACAAAACATGTTAAGAACAAGTCCTGTTTGTAAGTTGTACAGATAGGTTGATAATATAAACAAGAAACCCTAGAGTTCCTCTGCTATGTTCCAACATTTTATGTTGTTGGCCGATATTTTTCATTTCTGATAGAAACAAACAGGACATTAATCTTCAGTTTTTCTCCTGATACACTTCATCTCCTGGTCTTGTCTTATCCTTCTATAAAAGCAGTACTTAGTAATCTAAGGTCATGAGTTCATGAATTGGAGCACAGATTTACATAGCCTGATATTGTGGTTAATTCAGAAATAATTTGTATTTGCTATTTGAGCACAGGCACATGTTCAGATACATGCTTTCTTATTTCCCTTAAGCCTTTTTGTCACCCTCTCCTTCACTTTTGTTGCTCTTGACACTAATGAAGAATTGACCACTTTGCTACTGATGGTGTTTTTCTAAGTAATATGATGAGAGTTTTTAGGACACAGTTCTAAAGATTCCTTTATTCCTAGAAGATCATAGATCTCTGAGCTAGATTATTTTTTTCTGTTTTTGTTCAGTATCATTCCATTGTTTATGTTTTATCCTACACCTTTGTAGAGAAAATTTTATTTTGTACTTCTAATATATATGGTTTGTGACTTCTAGAGTTACCGAGAAATATGTTGTAGCAAAGTAAGTTTTAATTTTGTTGCATGATTTATAAGCTAAATGTTTACATTTTCTTTTTTGAACTACAGGATACCAGAAGGTCCCATTGATCAGGGGCCAGCTTCAGGAAGGGTTCGTGCTTTAGAAGAACAGCTTTTGAAGGCCAAAGAACAGATTGAAAATTATAAGAAACAAACTAGAAATGGTAGGTGATTATGCAGTGTTTTCCCTCTTTAATATATTGATATTACCACAAATAATTAAAGACTTTTTTTCATCAAAATGTTGGGAGTATTGATACTATTTATTCTTTGACTGCAGGTCTGGGGAAGGATCATGAAATCCTAAGGAGGAGAATTGAAAATGGAGCTAAAGAGCTCTGGTTTTTTCTACAAAGTGAATTGAAGAAATTAAAGAATTTAGAAGGAAATGTACTCCAAAGACATGCAGATGAATTTCTGTCAGATTTGGGACATCATGAAAGGTGCTATTCTTTTTTTTACATTTCATTTGGGCTTTGGTAAAGATTATAATCTAAGAATATAAACTGGAACTTCTGTTAATTTCCCTGCTGAATGGTAAGTGATACCTACCATATTTAGGAGAAGAGTACCTGAGGTTTCAAGGACAATAATTCCCAAACGTAGTTCATCAACTAAAACATATCACTGGAAAATATTATTTAAAATGTATTTCTATGGGCATGTGGGTGGCTCAGTCAGTTAAGCATCTGCCTTCGACTCAGGTCATGATCCCAGGGTCCTGGGATTGAGGCCCACATCGGGCTCCCTGCTCAGCGGGAAGCCTGCTTCTCCCTCTGCCTGCCACTCCCCCTGCTTGTGCTCTCTCCCTCTCTCTGCTCTCTCTCTGACAAATAAATAAAATCTTAAAAAAAAATTTTTTTAGATAAAAATAAAATGTATTTCTAGAAATCTTTATATAATAAACCCTAAGTAAACTCTGAAGGTAGTGATGTCAGCCAGTAATACATTAAAATATCTTCCTGTAAATTTCCTTCATATACAACCAATAATTGGAGTATGCAGTTTTTACATTACAGTACATTGGAACTCATACTGAGGCTGGAAGTTATGTTTCTAATTCAGACATTAAAAACTTTAAAAAAGCACCTTTTTAGGATTCCTAATTAAAGGTTAACAGTTTTTTGATGCATTCTCTTAATGCATTCTTTTAATTATTTTTCTACTTAGTTGCTAGAAATAAGAATCTGAGATCTCCTGTTAAGTTTATTTCTCCTGTTTACACATTTCCTTTCCATAGAAAGGAAAACCTTTTGGTACTGGTGTGTTCATGCAGAACACAGTGTATCTGAGAATCATTATAAATAAAATGAAATCTGTCCTTATGCCTATTATATATACAAGTCTATATTCCCAGTAGGATTCTGGTGGCAATTACTGTCTCATTAGTGAACAGTAAAAGAAAAATTGTTGTATTAACACAACCTACCACTGTAAAGAAGAAAAGAATTGCTCCACAACCAAGAGATTCATATATATTAACATCATTAGTAATATTGTACGGATTTTGAAATATTGTTGTGCTATTTTAAGTGAAATTACAAATAAAATCCATCAGTTCATTGGAATCATTTTAGCATTAATCTACAGAAGTAAGCATAAATTTCAAGAGGCATTTAGCCCTCCCCCTTTGAAAGTTTTAGCCATACTTAGATCATCAGACCAAATGCTGACTGTATCCTTATTGCTTCTCTACCCTAAAGCTGATTCTGGGCCTCATGATTCTGCTAATTGGAGCTGTGTGCTTGTGTGCTTTGCTTATCGAAGTTTTATAGGAAAATGTAGATCTGAAGAGGATTTGAGTTGGGTAGACTATGTGGTATTTAAAGGAGAATTTTGTCAATAAAAATAGGTCAACACCCTGACATCTAATAGTAAAACTTACGAGTCTCAGAGACAAAGAGAAAATCCTGAAAGCAGCTCGGGAGAAGAGATATGTAACCTACAATGGTAGAA